GAAAAGGCCGCTGCTGCTGTCCCTGCTGCTGGAGAACCCTAGCGGACTCCATGATAAAAGCTAGCGGGGTGCAGGAGCGGCAGGCTAGGAGCGACAGGAGCGACAGGCTGCTGTGAAAAACGAGAACAACTAGGAGCGCAAGGTGAAACCAGGCGAGTAACTGCTGGAGCACGGAGCGAACTAAGCTAGGAGCGCCAGGTGAAACCAGGCGAGTAACTGCTGGAGCACGGAGCGAACTAAGCTAGGAGCGCCAGGTGAAACTAGGCGAGGAACGGCCGGAGCACGGAGCAAACTGAGCTACGAGCGAGGAGCGAGAACGGCTGGAGCGAGAACGGCTGGAGCTAGAAGCGGCGAGCTAGGGCTGGCTGGAGGTAGGAACGGCCGGGGCTAGAGACCGTAAGTGCGGCTGTCGGCTGCCGCTAGTAGAGCCACTGGCAGTGGAAAGTACGTGCGACAGTAGGGGCTGCAGTACTGACGGCTGCGGGATGTAGGCAACTGTGCAGGTCGTCCGGCAAGCAGGAACGCGGGCGACAGTAGCAGGCCCCCACTGTGAACCCCTTTTTTTTTTTTTTTTTTTTTAGGGTTTAATTTATTTATTTATTTTCTGGCACTAAAGCACCCCGGGGCGCGCCGCCTGCAGGGTGTGCTGCCTGCGGGGCGCGCTACCCGCGGGGCGCGCCTCCTGCGGGGCGCGCTACCCGCGGGGCGCGCTACCCGCGTGGCGCGCTGCCTGCGGGGCTGGGGTGACGAGCCAGGGAGGGCGCCTGGGCGACGGGCTAGGACGGGCGCCTGGGCGACGGGCTAGGACGGGCGCCTGGGCGACGGGCTAGGGCGCAGGCCTGGACGACGGGCTAGGACGGGCGCCTGGGCGACGGGCTAGGGCGCAGGCCTGGGCGACGGGCTAGGGCGCAGGCCTGGGCGACGGGCTAGGGCGGGCGCCTGGGCGACGGGCTAGGGCGGGCGCCTGGGCGACGGGCTGGGTCGGGCGCCTGGGGGACGGGCTGGGGTGGGCGCCTGGGCGACGGGCTAGGGCGGGCGCCTGGGCGACGGGCTAGGGCGGGCGCCTGGGCGACGGGCTAGGGCGGGCGCCTGGGCGACGGGTTGGGGCGGGCGCCTGGGCGACGGGCTGGGGCGGGCGCCTGGGCGACGGGCTGGGGCGGGCGCCTGGGCGACGGGCTGGGGCGGGCGCCTGGGCGACGGGCTAGGGCGGGCGCCTGGGCGACGGGCTGGGGCGGGCGCCTGGGCGACGGGCTGGGGCGGGCGCCTGGGCGACGGGCTAGGGCGGGCGCCTGGGCGACGGGCTAGGGCGGGCGCCTGGGCGACGGGCTAGGGCGGGCGCCTGGGCGACGGGCTAGGGCGTGGGCCTGGGCGACGGGCTAGGGGCGCAGGCTAGGGGCGCGGAGGGCGCTAACGCGCGGAGGAGGAGGGCGCTAAGGCGCGGAAATGGCGCGGAGGGCGCGGTGGCTAAGGCGCGGAGGGCGCGGAGGGCGCGGAGGGCGCGGAGGGCGCGGAGGGCGCGGAGGGTGCTAGGGCGCAAGGGCGCGGAGGGCGCGGAGGGCGCGGAGTGTGCTAGGGCGCAAAGGCGCGGAGGGCGCTAGGGCGCGAGCTAGGCTAGGCTATGCGAGAGGATCGACACCTACTCATGATACCATCTCAAAGTTAGCGAACAACGGAATGATTGGAATAGAAACGAATGGGGTACAAATGAGCAACCCTAGAAGCTGTACCCCCTAGAGTGCAACTCATTATAGCCTATCATATCAATGTTCAACATTTGACACGGGGGTACACTCTGCGCGCTTATCGGAGCGAAGTTTCCTGGAAGTTTCCTTCCGATATGCCCACTTCCGAGATGGCAGTGGAGTGCCAAGACGTGAGCAACACTCACTTCGACAGCTGGGACATCCAAATACACTCGTTCGTCGCGAATATCTTCTAGTTACGCTGAGGAAATGGTTGCGTGATTACGAGATTTCTGAAGACAAAATCTCGTCACATGTAAGTTATCGCTTATGTACTGTAAAGAATAGGCGACTTTGATGCTGATTCGCTGTAAAAGCATATGCAACACGCACTGGTGTGAATTGCGACGTTCCTGATTCGTAGTGAAAGTTTCGTGTGGCACTGTCTGATGCTCACATGCCACGCCAAGCAACAGTTTCTGCCTGCTGCCAGCTCAGCTGCGTGGCACTTGGCCCACCTGATACAGATCGGGTGCTCTACTCGGGCCGAGGGTGTCGCGTGGCACTTGGCCCACCTGATACAGATCGGGTGCTCTATTCGGGCCGAGGGTGTCGCGTGGCACTTGGCCCACCTGATACAGATCGGGTGAACGATCGCATCGCTTGAAAAGCAAATCCAAAACTGACAAAATCGGCACACATGCGAGAAAATGGGTACAGAACGGTAATCACACACACGACAAAACGAAATGAGATCAGCAGCAGAGCAGAAACAACCATGCGCTGCATGTGACAAAAACACCGGAACGCCGCCGACATGAGCAGAGGCGATGCACGAGCACGAGCACATTGCCTGATGCGTTGGTATGGTATGCTGTAATCAGCTTCAATGCTATTATAACTGCTTTTACGAAAGTGCATGAACATCTTAAAATTTGAAGTAACTCTGACAGTTCAGACAAAAAAAATTGTGCCTGTCTGAATTTTCAGACTAAACTTTTGAGGCACCTCTGACAGACAGAGTTCCAGGAGGGGTGTACTCTGAGGCCTCAGACTACCTCAAAACGAATCTAGGGGCCTGCTCTGCAGATGGAAGGGCTCTGCCTCAGTGCATGGTGGAAGGCAGATGCAGGTGGGGGTGGAGTCACAGTGGGGTGGGAGTGGGAGGGCGCACAAGTTTGTAAATCTCAACGTTGAGTTTAGGGCGCGTGTGATTTTTGATTTTGTCATAAGTTTATGTTTTTTACTCGATTTAAGCATTTGAACATGACTCGACTTTGAGCATTGGCAATGTTCGAACCGCAGGTGACAATGCTTGTAGATTCACAATCACACACGAAAGTGCGAATTTGCAGGTTCGAGCTTACAGGGGGGGGACCGAGCCGCCTATAGGGTGCGTAGGTTACCCGGTATTCTTCTATTGACAGCGCGACACATCAACGAATCGCCCCTAAACAAAATTAACGCTAGACCTCCACCTCGACATTGCTCAAGGGACAGTTGTTCACGATACAAATATCGAAGTGCTCGGCCAGGTCTCCAACTCAGCATCACACAATGACTCTGATTCAACTTGTGCGCTTTCTCGGAATTGTGCTTCAAGGTTACATGCGATGTTTCCTGCTACCTGCTCTCTCCGCCATTGGTGCAGCCATCCCTTCGCTCGTCGCCGCATTCAGTCTGCGACAGACCCGTGTGTTCGTCCGTGGGGATCGCCTCGATGCCCGCGTGCGGTGGTTCAACCTGATTACCCTGCTGCCCGAGTCTACATTTTACGAGTACATGCGCGTGGACAGGCGTGTATTCATTTACCTTGTGCGTCAGCACCAGCTCCGCAGCTCCTCAACGCGAAAGCATCCCGTCCACGATTTCATATTTGTGGCGTTGGGACTTAACCGACTTGGACATGGACTTCCATTTCGTCATCTCGGTCTGCAGTTCGGGTATTCCTACTCTCACGCCCAGAAACTGTGCACGCAGTTTGTTGACTTCGTCAACACAGTCTTACTGGAGAAGTGGGTCATCTGGCCTGACTTTGAAACGTGTCAAGTCTTTGAGCGTGAGTTTCGTAATGAGGCGGGTATTCCTGGTGTCGTAGGTGCCATGGATGGCACATATGTTCACTGCCGTGGTCAGGGGCCACATTGCGAGGATTTTAGGAATAGGAAGGGTGCATTCAGCATAATTGCACAACTCATCTGTGACTGCAGTGGCTACATCTACGACTTCTACGTCGGATGGCCGGGAAGCGTCAACGACGCTCGGGTCTTCCAGCACAGCCCGGCAAGACTGAAGATTGAACCGGGCGGTATCTACGACTATGCCATCGTCTCCGATGCGGCCTATGGTCTGCGGGATTACATCCTTACCCCCTACAGGGCGCTGCCCGGGCGCGGACTCCCGGACGAGCAGCGCGTGTGGAACTTGCAGCAATCCCGCGCCAGGATGATTGTCGAACAGGTTAACGGGAGGCTAAAGACGCGCTGGCGGATGCTGGACGGGCGCTTGGAGTGCGACATTTTCCGCGCCCCGCAGTACGTCTCTGCCTGCATCGTTCTACATAATATCGACCTGCTTCTCGGCCCCCGTCCTCGCCTTCTCCCTCCACGTGAGCGCAACACCTGGTGGCAGCACGGCCCCGCCGCCGAAATGCCGCACTTCTCGCCGCGGGATGAAGGCTTCACTCCGACACGTCGTCGCGATCGGATGGCGGCGTGCCTCTACGCTTCGTGGAGGCTCAGACATCCTGAGCAGACTCAACCAACTCTTGGGTACGATCCATGAATGCGGCAAATTGCTCCTGCATGGCACCTGTCACTGATTGAGCAATTATTCCTGCTATTTCCCTGCACAATGTCGAATCACTAGCATTCATCATACTTCCCAAGGCATGTTCACCCGGGTCATTGCCTGTGTTCACTTCGCTTCCAGTCGCAGGCCCAGGCCGACGGTTGACACCACGCCCACGGAGCGAAGCTCCCGTGCGCGCACCGAGGACGTGTGAGCGGACGGGAGAGGCCGTTGTGGCGGCATCGGTGGGCTCGTCATCCGACACCCGGGACGCTGGCGGCTGAGTTAGCGGCGGGTTCGACGGGGATCCACTCGGCGATGATGTCGTGCGCTGGCGCAAAGGGGTGCAAAGCCTTGCCCTCGGCCGAATTGGCGCTGCAGATGCAGCGTCTTGAATCGCTATTGCCGTTGGAGTAGGCACGGCACGATCTATGACGAATGTGAAGGGGTGGGGGTGTAGCGGGAAGGGTTAATGCGCCTCAGCAGTGTTGTTAGGGGTTAAAGTTTTTTGCTGTGAATCGATGATTGTTAAGCAGCAACTACTTTATTGACAGTCAAACATTCGGCAAACTCATACTTACTTGCACTACTGCTGGTAGACGGCAAGTTCACGACATTAGCGCCAGGCAGGCTACCGGCAAGCGCGGGCGGACGAGCATTTGCGCGATCGCCCAAAATTCTGTCGAAGATATCGTAGAAGATGGGCAGCTTCGGGGGGCGGCCCTTGCCTGATGCATTGAGAAGTAGATCCCCCACACGCCTATATTGCGCCTCCATGCGGAATACCTTTGCCTTCACGGCGGCCAGATTGTGGCGGAATTCAGGGTGACGCTCCCGCAGCTTCTCGAATAACATCACGTCACGGTTTTGCCCTTGCAGGCGGGTCTGGCCGTGATACTGCGCGTCGTAGTCGTGGCGAATCCACGCCAGCTGCATAACCTCGTGCGCCTCCCAGCGGGACATGTCTGTCGCCATTGTAGGGTCGGTATCTTCGTCGGCAGTGTCTTCTACGTCACAGTCAACTTCTCCGGCGTCAAAATACGCCAGCGAGTCGTCGTTGGCGTTGAGCGGGGTGTTGTGTGCGGGAACACGGGCAATCACTTGGTCGAGATCTATCACGTCTAAGCGGCGAGCAGTGGTATTGTCGACCGTTGCACGACGACGACGCACCGCAGCGTTTGCAGAAACGGGAGCAGCGGTAGGTGCGGTGGTTCCATGGGCATCGTCCTGTGAAGCGGACATTGTGAAAAAAGCAATGCATACGGGACTACGAGAGGGTGGAATGTGGATACTTTGAACCGTGGGAGTGGCTTCACGTTGGGGGTGTTGATAGTTGAGGCTGTTTCAAGATTGGTAGGCGGGAATTTCACAGCCAAATCGCCTGCGCCAGATGATACGCACTCACGAACCGTCATCGTGCCACGACGCATGCCACGTGGTGGGCTTTGCGCGGGGGACTCTGCTACGGGTGTCGTAAGTGCCTCCATTGGTGCACGAAAGAGTCGCGAGCTTCGTTGGTTCCTCGTACGTGCCTGAAACCACACACGTTCGGTTCAATGTGCTACACAAAGTTTGTGCATATATTCGAATCTTGTTCACATTTGTATGTTCGCACCTGGTAAACGACACATTGGAGTCACCATTGGCGAAATCTCCTGCGAACATTGGCGAAACTGGTTGCCACCTAAAGTTCGACCTTAAATACGAACCCCCAAAAAAATCACACGCGCCCTTAGGCTTGCTGGTGTAGTGAGTAGAAGCGCTCACCATATCAGCAGCTGGCAGTGTTTTAGACCCAATTGCTAGATTGCGATTGTGGCAAAACTTGCACCACCTTGGTTGTTGGCACTGTTGATGTACCACCCCTGAGTTGCTTGTTAAGTCTCAAGTACTTTTCCTTTCATAATTCACTTCAAAGAAAACTTTTCACAACAGCATATGATACATGGGTTGATGAAACCCAACTGCGGCAGCAGTATGGGCAAAAAGCTAAGGCTGAGGAAGCAGAAACAACAGCCCCCATATGGCAAAGGACGCAACCCGTATTGGGCAAAAACTAGGTCCACATGAAGAAATACTGAAGCACATCTGCCCCAGTGCTGCCGTAATGACATCAACAGCAGCCCTCCCTTAGAGCCTGAGGTTTAAATCAAGTGATGTCTGCTCACAAGCAGCGTGCTTGTCTTGAGCAGGAGCAGCATGCTCACTTCCGCTGGACTCGTTCATGGTAGCCGGAGCAGCAGCTGCAGCAGCAGCAGCAGCAGCAAAATACTCAGCATAGTCACCACTGACACCAGATTCCTCCATCCTATTCTCCCCTCCCGACATCTTCTCCTCGCCCACCTCCCTGTCCACTCCCCCAGCAGCATCCAATTCCTGCAGGCATGCATGTTCCAACCCCACGACCACCGCCTCCAGCGATTTCAGGTCCTCCTCCTCCTGGGCAATGCTGGAATGCGTTGCTCTCCCCATGGACGCTTCCATGAAGGCTTCAAGCTGGGCCAGCCCGTCCTTGGTTGTGAGAGCAGAAGCCGCGCCCGTGCTTATCTTCTTTTCTTGCTGCACCTGTAACTGCTTCTGCAACTGCTGCTGCTGCTGCAGCTGTAACTGCTGATGCTGCTGCAGCTGTAACTGCTGCTGCTGCTGGAGCTTTAACTGCTGCTGCTGCTGGAGCTTTAACTGCTGCTGCTTCTCCTGCTGCTGCTGCCACGTGTCCTTCACAGGTCGCCCCCACGACCGCTTGCCAGCACCGCTGATAGCCGGAGCCTCCGCGGGACATGCAGGCGAGGCGAGCGAGTCGTTGTCATCCGCCCAGAGGCGATCGAAGAGCGGCCGATGGTGGACGCGCTGAAGGGCAGGCTGATGGGGTCGCTGGGTTCCGTGAAGCGTAGAGGCGGAGAGCTGCTGAGTCATGGCTGACACTGCAGCACTAGCTGCTCCCAATGCTCCAGATGCTACTGCTGCTCCAGCTGTCTCCGCTGTGGCGGCTGCACCAGCGGCACCGGACGGGTGAGCTGCAATCCGGGTGTGAAGGTGCGAGGGTGACGGATCTGCCTGTTGAAGCTGAAGCAGTTGCTGCATCAGCGCCTGCTGCTGCTGCGCTGGCAGCATTTGATCGTATGAGGGCTGACGCTGTAGCACTGGGTGGGCTTTTATCGAGGTAGGTTGTGGAGAGGATGCCTTGAGCGTCTGGGTCAGCGCGTGAAGGTTGGGAGCCGAGAAGGTGGACGGGAAGCCTCCAAACCTTGTCACACCGTTGCCGCCATTAACCCCGGCCGAACCAGCTCCACCACCCCACACTCCTCTAGCCACCGGTCCCATGCCTCTGCTGATGCTCGCAATCTCGTCGCTCACAGTGGGCGACTGCGACTGGGTTGTTACAGAAGTTACCGGGCTGGTGTTTGCGGATCGCCACATCGCCTTGAGTCGCAGACTCCCTGTGCGACGACGGGAAGAGAAACTGTCGGAATGTCGCAAAGGCGCGCCCCGCGCGTCGGTAGGCCGCTTCGTAGCGACGATCGCGCCGCCTGTCACGGAGCGGGGTTCGTCGAAGTTCTCCAGATTCATCAACGCGTGCTGCGCTGAGAGTAGCTGCTGATGTGGATGTTGATGCTCGTCATACAGGGGTGACGTGGACGCCGCTGAGCTGACAAGTGACAACAGCGACCGCCGCCGTTTGATAGGCTGAGGCTGACAGGAGGCTCCGTACCCGCCGTATCCTGATAGATGAGCCAGGCAACCCTCGGCGGATCCCGCATGTGGCGCTGCAGACGCCGCTGCGTGGTTCACGCAGCCGCGTGACGCGCCGCAGGACACGCCGTGGCAACCGCCGCAGGCGGCGCCGCAGCAGGATGGTCTGGAAGATTGTGAGCAGCCGGCGCCGCAGGATTGGTGAGGCGAGAGCATGGATTCAGAGTACCGGCGCTTCGCCCATGATCGCATGGGTAGTTGCGCGCGGCACGAGCCGCGTGCGACGCCGTGATAGTCGCACACGGCTCCGCGACACACCGTCGTCGGAACGCCGTGCGATCTGAGGGCGCTATGATTGGCGTGGGAGGCGCACGCATGACTCATGATCGCATGCTGGTGCGACGACGACGATGCGATGGAGGCGAAGGAGGGAAGCGAAACGGCCGAGGGATCCTTCGCAGTGAGACCGGCGACGGCCATTTTCATCGCCACATGCTCCAGGTCCATGCGGCTGATCCCGCTCCTTCGGTATCAGCTCCACTGGAAGGTAGAGAATGCGACTTGTGAGAATTCCGAGAAGCTAACACTAGCTCAGAGAAAAGTATTGACGATGAGAAGGGGTATGGTGAGTTGAGGCGCCACCGTCTCCGATGCTATCAGAGCTCCTACCGAAGAAGGGAAACTACGCTTCACCACTGAGGGATTCTATGAATGATCGTCGCTACAAATATACGTACTACGACGCTGTTTTGACGCGTGACTGGCAGCATTTAGCGGGCGATGTGAACGTGCACAGACAAGGAGAGTGATTTGCACTTACTGTAGGAACGGAGTGAAAAGCCTTGTACTGTACTGTATTGCTCGAATGTAGGCTACATGTCGGGCGCGGTTGAGCTCAAGCTCGAATGTATCACGCGCGGATTTCGCGGGGGGGCAGACTGTAAGAGTGGCATGAGGGAACGGTTTCTGGAATGACGATGATTAATGCTCGAAATTAAATGCGACTCATTGCTCCGTATCACTCCTCCCAATCGAACACGGTGCGGCAGCGTTGTGAGCACAAGCTAGGTGATACACATGGTCCACGGTATTTTCACACCCTCCAATTCACACCCCTGTGTATTCGTTCCTGATTTACCCGGAAATTGAGGGTTGTTTCGAACAGTCTGGCATTACTGAATTACGATTCAGACTCCGCTTAAGATTCAGCGGGAAAATAAAACATGGTCGCAGCGGAAGATCCAGTCTTCACGTTGCGGTCACAAAGTCACACTTTCACAACATCGACACTTTACAATGCCACGGATAGCCTCTAGTTCCTTGGGTGTCTGATCCCCAAAGCCAAAAAAGGTTCAAATGGGCTTTAAGAAAAACTGACGGGGTGTGAAATTGGCGCGGGCTAGGTGTACGCTCCAAAACAATGCGCGCTGCGCGCCAAACAGAAGCTGTAAAACAAGGATGCTTGAACAGGTAGGGGGTAAGCAAACAGCATGAGGTCTACACTGGGGTCTGCTGTATGCTGCCACACTGTCTCAGCTCGCACAGTGATGGTTTGCAACTGCCGTATTCTCTGTTGCTAGCACGATGACTTGCAAGATGACGGGACTGAACGGCAAAGAGTGGGACCGAAGTAATGAGTGATGCTCCTTGCTCAGCGCGCTGATTGAACTGGTCACGCACTTGGCAAGGAAGGGAAGGGAAAGCGGGGGAGGTTGGTGGTGCAGAGAAATTGGCGTGCCAACGACCACCGAACCGCGCAATGCAATCGAAGAATAATTACTCGGAGCGCAGGTGCAATTTGACAGTCATGGAACATGTTGACGTGGAAAGGCCCGCGAGTTTGTGGCGGAGATCGCTCGGAAGGTCCATTATTGAAATCTTCACTGGTGCTCTTGGTGGTGCTCCATGAAAGACTCCACGATGATTGGGCCATGTGGGTTCAGTATCGGGCAAAGGAGAATTCTGTTGTTTTTCCCTCCTGGCTTGCAATTCAGGAAAATGGGTAATTGATGCAGCACTAAATTCTGAAACTGGAACCCTCTACACAGCCGCTGTGTCGTACAAGTAGGGATAACCAAGGCAGCTTTGCTGCTGCCATATGATTGCTGGAACGAGTTTTGTTTTCCCATAATTGATATAATAATCAGAAGTAGTCATCGGGCTGGGTGGGGTTTCTTATGAATATTTTCAGTCTGCCGATGTCACAAACCAAAACATACAGTACATTGGGGAGTGAATCAGAGTGAGCGATGCTGGTTGGCTGGAAGGATCTGGTTTTCGTTGTGAAGCCTCGTCCATCCATAGCAGCAATTCACTTCACACCTTGCCAAGTCAGTCCAGCAACGTGGCAGAAAGACGGCTGCTACCGTTGTTGCGTCCATGTGATCGACCCGTGGAGCCCCCTTGCTAGCTGAGGACGGCTCACACACGCGCACGCTAGGTGACCTTTCCGATATTTGAGGGACCACGTGCCACCTGGCTCAAGCCAGTCCGTCCACAAATTGACAAAATCTTGATACGCTACGCTACCGCAAAATCTACAAATGGTTCAGAGAGAAGAAGTGTCGCGGAATGCGATATTGAGGCTGCTTTCTATCCTGCTCCATTCCGTACACCATTCTCGCTGAAAGTTTATAAAGCATGTATAGATGTTCCGTCAATTTAAGATACCTATCAAATATCACACAGATTCCCCCCATTAGTATGGATTTACCTAAGTTTGACTCTCTTCATCTCCTACTCTCTCCGCACCCCTTCTCTCACCCTCCCTCCTCATGAACACCCCCCTCACTCGCCGCGCCACATTGAATGCCGACAGTGTCAGCAGCAGCGCCACGCCCAGCCCTCCGCGCTCCCCGACTGCGCCTGCCAGGGGTGGACGGAACGAGGGGGACGGCCCCATCCAATGCGCTGCGCTGATGGATGCATGGGCTGTAGCGCCCTGGGTGAATGCAGCACCAGCTGTAGCACTGGCACCCGCACTAGCATTATTAATTAAGTCTCCGATTTTCACTTTGACAGCCTCATCCGCAGTACCAACAGCAGTGGTTGCAGCAGTAAACCCTTCCTCATATGCCACCTGTGCCACTGTAGCCACTGGCACAGGCACCCCAGCAGCAGATGCCGCCTCCCCTCCCTCACCCCCTGAACGGCAACTTCTCTGAGGCAGCACCAGAAGTGGAGCCAGCCCCATCAGGCACCCTATGGTCACCCCGACAGTTGCGCCGCCCGTTTCGGCCCATCGGGCCCGAGAATCCGCGAGCTGCTTGGAGGAGAAGTTTACGTCCGGCAGGAATCGGCCTGTAGCGCCCTCGATGTACTCTCGGAAGACGGTGCCAACGATATCCGACACCGCATTTCCCAGCCCCGCCGCCTGCAGGGGGAGGGGGGAGGAGGGCAGAGCACAGGCAAGAAAACAGGGGGAGGGAGGCGGAAGGTGGGTTACGTTTGAGTGGACTCAGAAGTCACCTCGATGTACTCGCGGAAGACTGTCCCCACTGTGTCCGACACTGCGTTGCCCAGCCGCCGCCTGCAGAGGGGAGGAGAGGGGCAGCGCAGGGGCAAGGCACGGGCGGGCAAACAGGGGGAAAAGGTGGACATGCAGAGAGGCGTGTAGAGGAGTGGAAAAATTCTGTTTTGCGGATGAAGATATGAGCGTGCGCAGCAGGAGGATGCAGGGGGGTGAATGAGGATGAATGAGAGTGGTGATGCAGCAGATGCGAGTGTGGTCAACGGGCGCCATGCACTGATGGGGACGAGTCTCAGGGTGAACATGGCATGCATGAGCGCACCATGAGAGTGGAGATGCCAAAGGCTGCGCCCAGAGTGCCCTCGATGATGTCTCCAGCGATGAGCATGATGGTGTTGTCTGCCATGCCATGCCATGCGGGACAGGGACACAGTGAGCCACATTCAAACAATGAGAACACAAAGAATGAGGAGACATGCAAAGACTCGTAGCGGCTAGCGTCTGTGAATGCTCGACCAATAGAGTCATCCCAGCAGTCACCCATTTGAGGACCACATTTCAAGGTGCGCCATGATCCGCATTGTTCGCTGGCCAAAATGACATATTGCAGATCACCATATGTTTCTACTCTCCTTTGTGCATCATGCGTTCTCAAGATGCGACCCCTCCATTGGTCCAAAATCTCTCTTCTCACACTTCCTGCTTACTGATCTGCTCAGCCGCTCCCTATTTCCTCCTCCCCCCCGCTGTTCCTCTCGCCACCCAACCGTACCTAATCCCGCTTTCCCCTCCTTCCCCTTACTCCTCACCTGTCCCGTTTCTGCCAAGCCCCTTCCCTTCATGTTTTCCCTGGCAACCTACTTTCGTTGCTCATTCCTCCCCCTCACCTACTTCCCCTCCCCTTCCTTCCCTCCCCCCCATTCCCTTCCCCATCCTCCTCCCCTCCCACCTCCTCCCCCTCACCCCCCTGTCCTCTTCGCTCCACATTCCCACCCCCTTCCCCGCCCCACGCCTCTCACCTGTCACGCCGAACCCGATGTTGCCTGCAGCATGGGAAGGTAGGGGAAGGGGGAGAAGGGAGGAGGAAGGGAGAGGAGAGGAGAAGGAGGTTGAGGTGAGAGGGAGAAGGACTCTTCGGAAGAGCGGCACGAAATCAAGCCTTCATACGCGACGCGATTTCTGGGACGCCATTCATTCGGACAACGTCGGACGTAAGCGCATTGGATCATGCCCTGTTCTTCCCTGTGTTATGTTATGCGTTGCGCTGCTGGAAGAACAAACATAGACGCCGAACCAGCTTCGGCCTGTGTCCCTCCACTGGACGGCATACACCTATATAGGCTTCACCAAACACACTCTATAGCGGAGCGCGGGGCGGGTCGCACCTATAGCGAAGCGCGGGGCGGGTCGCACCTATGGCGGAGCGCGTGGCGAGCAGGCCGAGCTGGTGCAGGTTGAGCGGGCGGTCGGCGGCCGCCATCTTGGCGTTCTGCGCCTCGACGTACGTCGCGAACTCGCGCGCGTCCAACACGCCGTCGTGGTTCACGTCCGCCGCCTGAAACTCCTGCGTCGCGTCGTGCTTCTCCATCGCTGCCAACGGGAATGGGAAACGGCAGGAATGGCAACGGAACCGGGCAACGGAACGGGGAATGGGAACGGACACGCCAATGGGGCATGCAAGCGCGCCGTCGTGGTTCACGTCCGCCGCCTGAAACTCCTGCGCCGCGTCGTGCTTCTCGGTGGCTGTCGGGGGGAAGGGGGGAGGAACGGGGAACGGGAACGAGAATGGGAACGGCAATGGGGCCGGCAAGCACGCCGTCGTGGTTCACGTCCGCCGCCCGCCGCCTGCTGCTGCGCCGCGTCGTGCTTCTCCGTCGCTGCCCAGGGGAGCAAGGCAACGGGAATGAGACCGGATACGAAAATGGGATGGGGGGTATGGGGGGTGGTACGCACGCGGCCGCGAATAGGACGACGAGACGGACTGAGGTCGCGAAGGACAGACGCGTAGGGGTCGAAAGACGACACGAGAGGAGTGCAGCGACGGCAAAAAGAACACGCACATCCCGGAAATAGCGCCGTCAGAAGCGCAGCGCGCCCGGCGGTATCGAGCTGGCGGACGAGCTCCCCCGCCGCGGCCTCGCCGAGCCGCAAGTCCGCGCTGCCGCTTCCATTGCCGACACTCCCAGAGGGTGACGTGGCGACAGAGAGCAGGCGTGCCACCTCAGCAAGCTGCTCCTCGTGCTCCGGCTCCAGCAGCTCCACGGAAGTCGCGCCGCCTACGCCGCCGCTCGTCGCGCTGCTGCTGGTTTCGTTTGACGCGCGGAGGATGAGTGAGCGGCGAAGGCGGTGTGGGAATCGGCCCACCGGTCTTTCGAATCTGGGAGACGAAGTGGAAAAACGTCCATTGGGGACTAATTTAATTGCTTGTACGGCTAGGCTTTGGCTTAGCGCGGTAGCCATGGTCGGCGAGGATTATACTCAAAAGTTAGCGTATGTTCAGAAAATCTATATTCAACAATTTAAAGCAAATCAAGCAAACCTCCTAGCTCCGTATTTTTCGGCGTGTTTTAGTCCAAGGAAAAGCCGAGGTGGGTGCGACGAAGGTAAGGGGGACTAAGTAAGTGCCAGCTGCAAATGCTGTTCGGATTTTTTTTGGGCGGAGCTGTGCGCACTTGGAGTAGGGGGGGCTCAGGGGGGCTTGGTGGGACTATGTGGGGCTTGGCGGAGGAATCATGGTGGGGGGGTGTGGAGAGCAGCGAGGTTTGGTGCCACTTGGAAGAGGGCCGCGATGTGGAGGCAAGTTTTGATTGAGAGAGACGCCTGTACTACGAAGTTATGATTGGTTACGACTAGGCTCGAGTATCACTGAGCTTCGGAAGAGAGGCTTGGATTTTTTCCAAATGAAAGTGAGGATTTTCTGACTGGACATCTTGGGTAACCAGCGTGGATCAAGACGAAAACCAGCGTGGCTGGGTCGTGTCAAGTTTGTCGTTTACACGCCTGGGGACCTGAAAACACGTCATGACTCCTTGTTGGCGCAAAAATATCGGGCTGGAGCCCAAAAAAGGTGGTACAGATCCTCCAATCGCAGCTGAATCCTGAAATTTCTAACAGAGGGAATGCTAGTGGAAAGAAAGTCAACCCGTTCCCAACTAATCAGCAACGTCGCACGAGCGTAGCTTCCCTACTTCCGCGGTACACCTCACCCGTTCGCACCCCCGGTTACCAGCTCGCACGCTTCACATCGCACGTGCAGCTCAAATTCAACCCAACCGAAGGAGAGAACCAAACGCGCGCCTCGATTTCAAAACTTTGTTCACACCGCAGAGCCCCAAACCAGATTTGCGCGATCACAGGTCCGCAGCCCAGAAGCATTCGTCCGCGCAGCTTGCAGTCTCCCCCAACGACGAGGAACAAAATTGGACGTAACCTTTGCGCGTGTGGTCGAGGATCAACGATGTGGCTGATACCGTCGGTTGACAGTAGTGTGCAGCAGAGCATAGTATCATATTGCACCTCCACGTTAATAACAAGTGTGAAAGACATACGGCACTAAAAACTCCACGTTGGAAGCAACTTATTTTTGCCCAAAGAGACGATTCACTGGCGATTGCTGCACCATAAGCAATCGCTCCTTGGCGCATCCCTTCAAGAGAGCAGCCAGCATGGCAGCCACGACCGCGACGTTAGGGCCTATCTCCGGAGCGAAATGCGGCGTTGCACATCGAACAGTGCCGGCACGGACGTCTACTCAACGATCATGGTTGGCGCCCCTAGATCGAACTTCCCCCTCCGCCCCCATTCTGCGGCGAACCTGTTCTCGTTCCCGCTTCTCGCGGGGCGGTTCGCAGACTCCGCGGCCGCAGCGCGCCGGATTGAATGTGTCTCCGGCATTCGCGGGAACGTCGGCAGACTCTGCAGGAGCGCCTTTGTTGGAGCAGCCGGATCAGCGGGCGGTCGTGGCGGACGTCGCGCGGCTATTATCGAAGCCGCGAAGCTACGACTTTCGCGAGCACCACCACCACGAGCAGCACAGTAACGAAGCGCTAAGTAAAGAGGACGCGGAGCGTGCGGCGGCAGCGAGCGTGAAGGAGGGGACGACGATCGGCGAGGTGGCGGCGATCGAGCTCGTGCGACAGCTGAGCCCGCAGGGGCGCGAAGTGCTGCTCACGGCGCTCTTCCCGGGAGGTACGCGAACCGCCTTCGAGTCGACTCTTCTAGAAAAATGTCCCACGAACAATGCGCGAGCGTTGGAAAGTCGAGCAGAAGAGGGAGTTGAAGCATGCGGATGCGCTCAACGAAAGGGTAATCAGCACCACCAGTCGGCGCCGGCGGTAGGATACGCTGCTCCTTTGGCTCTAGCGCTTCACACGGTGCGTGTGTGTGTGTGTGCGTGCGTGCGTGTGTTTGTGCGTTCATCTGTGTGTGCGCGCGCGCAGCGGACAGTGCGGAGGCGGAGGAGGAGTTTGAGCACGCGGACGCGCATCACGACGGGGTGATAAGCGAGGGCGAGTTCGAGCAGTACGTGGGCGAGCAGCAGGCCAAGATCGACGCGCTGCACCGCCCGCTCGACTTCCCGCAGCTCGCGCTGCTCGCCAAGAAGGAATTTCTCGGTGCGTGTTTGATGATATATGTGGGGTCAGGAACGTCAGAGCTAGTGAGAGTTGCTAGAAGGAGCGTATGTATTGTTGTACCGGTGCTTAATGAATTGCCCGTCTCTTCCCCTACCATTCCCGTTACTTCGATTCGTTTCAGTCCCCTTCCTCCATCCATTAATCTCTCCCCCTCACCCACCCCTCCCCCCTCCCCCGCTCACCCTTCCCCCACTTCCCCCGGCATGCTGGACTCGGTGCGGCGCGGCGCTGCGCGCAGGCAACTTGGGCTTCGGACTTACAAGTAAGCACTTGGGGGACGGGTGGGATAGAGGGGTAGAAAGTGGGAGCATATGGGAAAAACGGCAAGCGTGCTAATCCAAGGTTGGGTTGGTTTCAGTCTAAACAAATCAGGTGTCTAGGACTGCTGGTTGTCTTGATGTTTGTTAGGCAAAGGTAGTAATCCCCACAACTGGACAGTCTATAGCAGTCACCAATTAGGAAGCCCCGAGCTCCTCCTGCAGTGTTTCTCTCTCACTTACTCTTGCATGCTCACCCACTCCCCTCTCACTCCTTCTTCCCCATTCACCTCCTTCTCCACTCCCACTCCCCTTCCCAATACCCCTGTCACGTTCTCAATGCATCTTCTTTCACAGAGAACACGGTGATGATCATATCAGGCGACTTCATAGCGAGTACGCTTGGAGCTGCCTTCGGGTTCTCCACCCTCATGGTAAGCCCTGGAGAAGGGATGCGAGAACAGCAGACAGCCCCTGCTCCCATTGAGTCAGCTGAAGCTCAGGCAGGCCGCCCTATAATGCCCTACGATCCCTCGTTAGTTGAGTCCAAATAGCCCCTCTAGAATCCAAATACCTCCACATTGGTTGGAAACTCGAACCAGCCTTTGCCAACCCTCGTATGCCTCGGATAAGCCTCAGACCCCATTCACCCTGCCTCCCTTCCCTCAATCCCCTCCCCCCATCAGGCGGCGGGTCTGGGAAACTTAGTGGCGGCGTGAGGTGCCGGGGAGCCATAGAGTCATCCTCCTCCCAAAATACCCTATTTCCGTTCCCCTCCCACCCTTTCCTATTCACCCTGTCCCCCCTTACCCCCTTTCCCCCATCAGGCGGCGGGTCTGGGCAACGCAGTGGCGGACGTGATAGGCACGTGGTGCTGGGGAGCCATAGAGTCGTCCTCCTCTCCCGGATTCCCCTTTTTCCTCCTTTCCCCATTCACCATGTCCCCACCTCCACCCCATCAGGCGGCGGGTTTGGGAAACGCGGTGGCGGACGTGATAGGCACGTGGGGAGCCATAGAGTCGTCCCCCTCCAAGCTCCTCCCTTTTCCCTTTCCCCTCTCCCCTTTTCCCCACTCTGTCTCCCCTACTTCCCCCCTCTCTCCCCATCAGGCGGCAGGGCTGGGCAACGCGGTCGCAGACGTGATTGGCACGTGGTGTCGCGGAGCCATAGAGTCATCCTCCTCCAAGCTCCTCCCCGGCGCCACCTTCTCCTCGCACCAGCTCGAGCACCCCAAGGCCCAGCTCTTCGCCACCGTTGGCGCTGTCCTGGGAGTCACTGTGGGCGGCTTGATGGGCCTCTCTCCGCTCTTCTTCCTGCCGGCTCGTGGGGGTGGAGGGGAAGGCGGGCACGGCGCAGGTCCGGCGGTGACCGCTGGCGTGGCGGCTGCTTCAGCGGCAGCTTCGGCGATGAAGGTTGCCGCGCCGCTTGCTACTATTGCGTCGGCGGATGGGGTTGAGGAGGCCGCGTCAGGTCACGCTACAGCTAGTGCTACTGGAATAACTGGTGCTAATGGCGCTACAGGAGGTGGCATGCAGGGTGCATTCACCCGGGGCGCTACAGCCCATGCGTCCATCAGCGCAGCGCATTGGATGGGTCCGTCCCCCTCGTTCCGCCCACCCCTGACAGGCGCTGTGGGGGAGCGTGGAGGGCTAGGTGTGGCGCTGCTGCTGGCGCTGTCGGCACTCAATGTGGCACGGCGAGTGAGGGGGGTGTTCATGAGGAGGGAGGGGGAGAGAAAAGTCGAGGGGGAACGGAAATAGCAGTTAAGAGCTAGTTTTTTGTTGGGCTGCCTTTTTTTTTTTTGTGTAGTGTCATGCTATTTGGTCTGGTTCATGTTGGTCACTGCGACTCTTATGTGATATTTATGTCAACACTAATAGCGCTTATCGGCGCTTCTTCTAAGATAGGATTTTTCCTTTATCAGCTACTCTGTCGGTTTGGCGGCGCCAGGTTGGCCTCACATGAATATCCCGTCCCCCCTTTTCCAGGGGACTGATTGTCCCAGCCGAACCAATGAAAATGAGGGTATTTGGTGACCATGTGACAGCTTGCCGCAGCATTGGTCTAATCCGTCGATTACAGGTGTCCGATAATGTATACCGTCAGATAATTACTGTCCATTCCACCTGTCAATAGTGTACAAGACCCTGCAATGGAACTGTACTGTACATCGAACCGCGGGCATCAGGACGTGCAAAATGTACAGTAACACCTCTTCAGTTTCCCAGAGGCTACACGGGTGTGCGTAGTGCGCACCCGTCTCAATCCCGCCTGTCCCTTCGACAAATATCCCTCATTCCCCTTAGGTGTCTGAGATCTGGTGGGTGGGCTCCGCATGAAGCCCCGCGCGCTGGAGGTCTTCCGCTCTTGTCGAGACCAAGCGCCAGCCCTTCCCCCATCTCCCCCTCTCAGCCACATTGCATTTGCGTGCATTGCAGTGCCTCATTGCGCCGAGAAACACATACACCCACGATTTCTGGTTGATAGCGCTTTTCACAGAGGGCCGCCATTTTCAAGCTGTTTTTTTTGCACGTGGCGGACTTGGGCCGCTCCGCAATATTTTACAACCACGGTTGTTCATCAGCAGAGCGACGGGCAACTTTTGGCAGTGTTGGGTTCAGAAGTTTTTTTTTTGAACCAGGCTTGCCAGCGCGAAAGTGCTGGCTGGCGAAAACCAGGATTTCGTGCGGACACTTTCCATCCGCAGTAACAGTTCGCCAGGGTTCTGGGTTTTGGGTGGCAAATGTGCACCGTTGCTAGGTAACAATTTTCTCATTTTCGCGTTGAAGTGGGCTGCTCGCGACTCGTCACTGATCTGGTCCGCTCGCATCTTCGACGAGTTCCGCCTCTCTCTTGTAGTCGCTTGATGAACCGCCGAACAAAAGCACACTACTTACTACACAGACCGATATAGCGCCAAGCGGCGGGCGAACGGCGCACTGACGCATTGGCGTGACTAACTAAATAAGTATTTTTTTAGAGCATTGCACTTAGCGAGCCATGGCGTCGCTCGAAGTGCTCGCGTACACGTTCGGCGTGCTGGCCGTGGTGCTGTTCGGCGCGGGCGCGTGCGCGTTCGCAGTGTACCGCGAGGTGAAGCAGGGCGGCCCCGACACGCCCGACTTCTTTCTCACGGCGCGCAAGTCGGTCCCCATGCTCACCATCGCGTGGTAAGTCAACGGTGCTCGCGACAATCGCGTGGTACGTCAACGGTGCTCGCGACAATCGCGTGGTAAGTCAACGGTGCTCGCGACAATCGCGTGGTAAGTCAGCGGTTCTCGCGACCATCGCGTGGTAAACCCGTTCCCATGCGCACCGTTGCGTGGTAAGCCGATGTCGCTCATGGCCATTGCATGGTATTTGCGAAAAGCTGCTGCGAGTCGTCGCAGCGGCGCGCTGTGGAGACTTTTGTAGTCAACTTAAAAGTCACATGGCGCTCGTGGCCATTGCGCGGCATTTGCGGAAAGCTGCAACGGGTCGCAGCGACGCGCTGTGCGAGCGGCAGGCGAGCGCTTTGCCGTCCACGTGTCACAACGGCGCACTCCTCAACCCCGACACAGTTCCACCAGTGCTGGTGGCGCTGCTGGTTTTGCCGCTGATTGTGCCGCTGGTTGTGCCGCTGATTGCGCCGCTGATTGTGCTGCTGGTTGCGCGTGCCTTCCGAACATCGCGGGAAGGTGAAGTTCGCGACGCCGCCTATCCCGTAAACCCCAAACCCTAAACTCGATAGCCCGCTCGTTTATTTTCTTCCCTGCCATTTCCGTGCCCTGCTGGTGCGATGGGCTCTGCTCCTTCGCCTTTAGATGCCACTTCTTTCCTCCCTTCCCCTCCCCTCCCCCACCCTCTTTCCCCCACCCCCTTCCCCCACCCCTTCCCTCTCCCCCTCTTCCTCCCCATTCCCCCTTCCCCCTCCGCGCAGGTCGTTCTACGCGGGCGCGATGGGGTCGTGGGCGCTGTTCGGGCCGCCCTCCTACTGCGCGTTCGCGGGCACGCTGGGGATGATCATGTACTCGATATCAGCAGGCCTGCCTATCATCGTAGTCGCGTACTTCGGCGCGGTCATCCACCGCCTCGTGCCCTCCGTCGTCTCCATGGCGGACTACGTGCGCCGCCGCTTCGGCCTGTAAGCCTTTGGGGTGTGAGTGTGTGGGGTTGTGGGGTAGCGGTGTTCGATTGTGCGGGGTTTAAGGTTTCGGGCTGTCAAATCACGTGTTGACTTTTGATTCGACTCAAAAGTCAACTCGGTTTCGGGCTGTCGAATCACGCGCTCTCCGTCGTGTCTCCATGGCGGACTCCGCGCGCCGCCGCTTCGGCCTATGACTCTGGGAAAGTTTGGGCGTGCTTTGGGGAATTGGGTTCGGGTATGTAGGGGGGTTGGGTCTGGGAGGGTTTGGGTCTTCCCATTACGTTCCCTTCCACGTAATCGTTCCCATTACCTCCTGTCATCGTTCCCATTACCTCCTGTCATCGTTCCCATTACCTCCTGTCATCGTTCCTTTCCATCCCCCCTCCTTCCCCGTCGAAGTGTCCACTCCCCTCCATTGCTCCCCTCCATTGCTCCCCTCCCTTCCCAGCGTCACCTCGCTCTACGTCTCAGCCCTGGTGCAATAACAGCGGAGTACACGGCCCTCAGAGGAGCCTCGTCTCGTCTCACATCCCCCCCCTTACCACCACGCTCCCACCCCCCCCCCCCCCGGGCCTCCCTCCCCAGCGTCGCCTCCCTGTACGTCTCAGCCCTGATGCTGTTCAACATGGGCGTGGCCATCACCGCCGAGTACGCAGCAGTCGGCAGCCTCTTCACACCGCTTCCCCCTTGCTTTTCTCCCCCCTCCTCCCCCCTCCTTCCCCCTCCTTCCCCCTCCTTCCCCCTCCCTCTCCAGCGTCATCTCGCTCTACGTGTCCGGTCTGATGCTGTTCAACATGGGCGTGGCGATCACAGCGGAGTACACGGCGGTGGGGAGTCTCTTAGCCAACGGACATCATCGGCTCCAAGAGCCTGCCCATCATCCTCGTTATAGGCATCGTCTCGCTCATCTACACTGCTATTGGAGGGCTCTACGTGTCCATTATTACCGACCAGTGGCAGGTGCGCGGATTGTGCGGGTGGGTGGGTGGGTGGGTGGGGGGGAAGGGGGGAAAGGGGAAGAGGGAAGAGTGCTGTGTGCGTGAGTTGCTGGGTGTTGAGCCGACTCAAAGCGCACCGCCATTGGGAGGTTCTTGTTAGAATCGTAACTTAGTAGGAAATAGGAGCCATGCTAGGGTAGGCTAGACATGAGTGTCGAGAGAGTTGAGGTGAGAGGAAAATCGAGAAAGAGTGTTTCATGAAAGGGCCAAATGCCCAAGTTATACAAGAGACAAGTAAGGAAGGGGGTGCACCACAAGCAGAACAGCGATATAACTACACTACAGCTAGAACTACATGCAGTTATACAGAAATATATTCTGACAGTTCTATGTGTCCAATATTTACCGACCAGTGGCAGGTGCGTGGGGAGGGAGGCAGGCAGGGAGGGGAGGGTGGAGAAGGGGTGAGGGAGTATGCGTGGGTGGGGGGGAAATTGCTGTGTGCGTGAGTGCTAGAGGAGGGGGATTGCTGGGTAGGGTGGGTGCAAGGGTGTGTTGACTTTTGAGTTGACTCAAAAGTCAACAGGATACATGGGTGAGCATATCTTTGTCAGCTCTTCATATTCCTCTGCTCTTCATATTCCTCTGCTCTTCATATTCCTCTGCTCTTCATATTCCTTTGCGCCACAGCTGAACTGACACCATTACCTTCCCCCTCGTCCCCAACATCCCCCCCACCACCAGGCGGGCATATCAGTGGTGTTCGTGTTTGTGCCCTTCATATTCACCTTCTCCTGTTCCTCTGCACCACCACTGTCCCTAACCTTCCTTGCCCCTTCTCATTCTCACCACGCCCCTTCCCCAATCACCAAGACCAGGCGTGCATATCGGTGGTGCTCGTGCTCGTCTTCGTCATAATCATCCGTGCCTGTGCTGGCGCAATGCTTTTCCCTCCTCCTCACTTCCCTGCCACCCCCCTCCTCTTCCCTTCTCTCCCCCCCCACCACCAGGCGGGCATATCAGTGGTCTTCGTGCTCGTCCTCTTCATTTTCGTCTGCGCCACCTTCGACGCGCCTCTGGGTCCGCTCCCCTCATCACCCGTCGACCTCACGTGGAGCAACGAGTTGGGGCTGGCGTCCATTGGAGTCATGCCCATCTCGCTCATCTCCTCCACGCTCTTCAGTGAAGCCATGTGGCAGCGGTAAGGGCCAGGCATGTGTATCGCTGTGGCTACAGGAGTCTCACCCCCCAACAGCCTGCCAACAGGCCTGCCTCGCCTCCATTGCAGTCATGCCCGTCTCGCTCATCTCCTCCACGCTCTTCAGTGAAGCCATGCGGCGGTGGTGAGCCATCAAGGTGACTTTTGAGTCGACTCAAAAGTCACCTCGTCTCGCTCATCTCCTCCAAACTCTTCAGTGAAGCCATGGGGCGGTGGTGAGCCATCAAGCAGCGGGGTGAGGCATGTGGCAGTGGTGAGGGCTCCCTGTGGTTTCAGTGAGCTCTTTTAGGTGACCTCTCTCATGCTTGCTGTTAGCGGCACGGCACAGGGCAGTGGTAAGCCACATATGCTGTCGCTCCGCCCGCGCCTTTTTTTTTCTCAGTCCATTTTTGAGTTGCCAGAAAAACGCCCTGCAGGGAGGGGGCTGAGCTGTCTTTTTCAGACCAGCATATTTATTGAGCTGCCGCTTCGGCCCTGTCCTGCTGTCCCTCCTGTTTTCCCTACCTCGTGTGTGCCCCCGTACCTCGTGTGTGCCCCCCTACTCCCCTCTTCCTCCCCACACCAGCTGTTGTCATCCAATCACAAGGCACTGCGGGGGGGAGCAGCGCTTTCCCCTCAAGCTGACCTTTGAGCTCCGCTGCTTCTCATCCCCGTCCCCCTTTCCTAGGTTGCGGCCTGCTTTCCTCCCCTCGTGTACCCCCCTCTCCCTCTCCTTTCCGCTTCCCCATCACACCAGCTGCTGGGCGTCAGCGAGTCGCTAGGCGCTGCTCTCCCCTTTGAGCTCCGCTGCTTCTCACCCCCTCTGCCCTTTCCTTGTGCGCGCCCTGCTTGCCCCCTCTCGTGTGTCCCCTTCCCCTCCCCCTGCGTGGCACACCAGGTGCTGGGCGTCAGCGAATCGCAAGGCACTGCTGGGGGGAGCAGCACTGGCGTCGGTGGCCGTCACCATCGTCGTCTTCCTCTTCGGCTTCGGCGGTACGCTCCCTCCTGCACTTGCCTTCTCTCCCCTCCTCCCTTGTGCTCCCTTGTGCTCTCTTGTGCTCCCTTGTGCTCCCTTGTGCTCCCTTGTGCTCCCTTGTGCTCCCTTGTGCTCCCTTGTGCCCCCTTGCTCCCTCCTGCCTACTCTCCCCTTGTGCTCCCCCCCCGGCGTCAGTGGCCGTCTCCATTGTCGTCTTCCTATTCGGCTTCAGTGGTATGCACCCTCCTGCTCTCGCCCTTACGCTCGCTGCTTGTGCTCGCCCCTTGCTCTCCTCTTGCTCCCCCCTTGCCTGCCTGCTCTCCCCTTGCCTGCCTGACCAACACCCGTCTCTTCCCTCTCATCACCCATTCACACCCCTCTAATGCCCTTCCATCCAACCCCACCAACCAGGCCTGCTGACCGTGTGGGGTGGTGTGTGGCAGCCCAACCACGATTTTGCCAACACCAACACCATCCTCTTGAAATGAGACAAGTTTTTAGTCGACTCAAAACTCCTCTTCCCTCTCTTCAACCACTCCACACCCCTGCATTCCCCTGCCACTCCCATCCACCAGGCTTACTCGCCGTGTGGGGCGGCGTGCAGCAGCCCAACGACGACGCCACCCACACCACCACCACCATTCGCTTCCCTCTCATCAACCACTCCACACCCCTGCATTCCCCTTCCACCCGCACCTTCCAGGCTTACTCGCCGTGTGGGGAGGCGTGTGGCAGCCGAACGAGGATATGACCAACACCAACACCATCCTTTTCTCGCTCTTCAACAACACGACCTGGATCCTAGTCATCGCCACCGTGCTTGCTGTCGTCATGTCTGAGTCCGCAGTCGACTCGCTCCAAAACGCCATCGCCGACACGCTCACCACGGCCTTCCTCGCCATCATCGACTTCTTCCTCTCAGTCTCATTCGACACGGTCGAGGCCGCAGTGGCGAAAACCGCCTTCATGGCCGTCTTTGAAGCCAAGGGCATCTGGGCGATCCGGGTGATCGTGCTTCTGTTCAACATCCCTCCGCTGGTCGTCGCCCTCAAGGGGTACAACGTCCTCCAGCTCTTCCTCCTCGCAAACCTCCTCACTACCACCTCGGTGATCCCCGTGCTCGCGGGTGTGATCCCCGGAAAATGGACCCGCAAGGCCATCACGCCGTTCTCGGTCGGCTTTGGGTGCCTGTCTGGGATCGCTTCTCTCTTCATCTGGACGCAGATCTACTCGGTCAAGTATGACATGTCGTATTCTGATTCGCTCTACCAGGTGTTTCTATTCGCGTACGACTACCCTCCGTTCCTCATGGCTCTCGGGTTCTCGGTTACGGGGATGGTGGTGGGTGCGGGGTTTGAGGCTGTGGCAAGGGTTGTGCTCAAGAAGGAGTACCCCGAGTTTGACCTGGGTTCGGAGGAGTTGCCGGAGGTGCAGGGCGGTGAGATGGCGGATGCAGCGATGGAGAAGCTGGGCATGGGTGATGGTGGTCGTTGAATATTCTGACACTAGTGCCCGTATGGTTTCATACTCTTGATTGATGGGATGGCAATCACGGGTTGTTTTGCAGTGGTCTCGGGTTGGGGGTGTAGTTGGTAAATAATTGGAAGGACAACAGGTGCCGATACCGGTATAGGTAACGGATTTTTGCCGAAACTTGTTTGGTCGACTAACTTTCGATTTTTTCCAAGCATTGTGCTAAGCAAAGGTGGTGCATGGTGGAGGCGTTTGGTATACAAGATAGGCAACCTGCAAGTCTGCTAGTGATCCCGTCCAGCTCAGTCAACATGAATGAAACAGCTCATTAGAATCCTAGTGGTTTTTTTTTTTTTTTTTTTTTGGACTCAAGTACACAAAAAGACAGCAACCAGGAAATGTCCTCACTCGTAACTGATGTGGAGGGAGGTGTATTATCTATACTTGTAGATGCAACCCCCCGGTTACTCTCTATGAGCGTTGAAAGGTGATGAGCGGATCCTCCCAGATTGCTTTGAAGCCTTCTCTCCACGTCATTGATGCCTCATCGCTGTAGAGCTTATTCAGCACCGCTGCCTCATCCTTTGCCAGGTGTTCCCAGTCGTTTTTCCCCCCCTGGCACTTCCATCTCGCCTGTCTCTTCTTTGTCTTACTGTAGATCCTTACGTGTCTTGTGAATTGAACGTTGATCCGCCTCAGAACACGCTTGCGCTGAAACCTCATCCCTCTCCATATCGCGTTGCACCTTGCCAGCCATACCGTCATCGCCCGGATATAAGACATATGCCGTATTCCCCTAGATAAAAGACCCCCCCATAATAATGTTCCCGGGTCTTTAATACGGGGGGGGGGGGGGGGGGGGGGGGGGGGGGTATTCAAGACTGTTTTCCTTATACCCCCCAATTGGGGTGAAATCATTATAAGACCCCCCCCCCCCCCAACCTCAAAAGTGTTCTTTAGAGGTTGATTCATGTCAATTAAGCAAGCAGTGGCACATGGTAGGCCACAGGAGTCACAAAATACAATCAAGGCAGCCTTTCAACACCCACCACCTTGGAATCTTACCATTGAATATGGGCCAATGAGCATGAAGCATTCAGATGCTTCATGGATTGTGCCCGGTTTCTCGGCTCAAGACATTCGCGGGGTGTTTCCTCGTTTAAAAAACACAAATATGCATTACAACACCCTTGCATTTCATTATATTTTAAAAAACATAGCACTGATAATAAGACCCGGGTCTTATCGGTTTTTTACTCGATAATAAGACCTCCCCCCCCCCCCCCCCCCCCCCCCTTTTTTTTGTGAAATCAATAACAGCCCCTAGGGTTTTTTATCCGGGGGAATATGGTATGTCTTACCTCGTACACATTCTGAGCACAAGCAAATGGCCACAAGGCCAGTTCACATGCAGAGTTATATAAAAGAGAACAAACAGTAAAGTGATCATACCCTAGCAAGTGTAAGCAGGCAGGTATATATGTATAGATCACAGTACAAGCAAAGTCACGCAGTGAGCAAGTGAGGCAAAGTAGGCACAAGGCCTAAAACAGTACAGAAACGCTGATGATCACCAGACTGAAGTGTCTTGGTGAATATATCAGCAGTGTTGGCCCGAGTGGCCACGTAAGCAAGACGAAGCTGACCACGCTGCTGCAGCTCTCGAGCAAGGAAGTAACGCAGAGCGATGTGCTTCGCTCTGTGCTCCAGTCCGTGCTCTTGATACAAGGCAATCATGGCCTTGTTGTCTACGTACAGAACTGGAGAAGAACGAGGCCGCTCTCCCAAGTCGGTCAGCAGGTAGGTAAGCCAGCGTAACTCCAGTGCAGCCATGGCCCCTGCGTAGATCTCAGCCTCACAGCTTGAACTGAGAATAGAAGACGAACGGGTAGACTGCCAAGAAAACAGAGCCGGAGCCAAGGCTGAAACTGTAACCCTGTGACGACCGCGGCGTAGCCAAGTCATCAACCCAAGAAGTGTTTGCGTGTCTAGTGAGGACAACTGGACCCCGTCCTCCAAGCACGAGCCCCATGCCCGATGTACTGCACAAGTAGCACAACACCCTCTTAGCAGCCTCCTAGTGCTCTGGTCGGTGTCTCCCCGGCGCAACGTAGCGTGCCAGGATGCTAAGAGGGTAGGCAAGGTCAGGTCGAGTGCAGGTCATCAGGTACATGAGACAACCCACAAGCTCTGGATACGGGCCACTCGGCTCTGCGGACTCATCCGAAGGTGGAGCTGAGAGCGAGTGACCGGTAGGCAGAGGAGTGGTAGGCAGAGGAGTACTGGAAGCCGAAGCGCTGAAGGACCTGGTGCACCATGTATGACTGAGCCAGGGTGATGGTGCGCCGTAATCTGTCCCGGGTGATCTGCAAGCTAAGATAGCTACGCAGCTCACCCAGGTCAGTGCGAGTGTGTCTCTCCTGCAGCTCCGCCTTCACTAGGGCCAGCGCCTCAGTGTCAGCAGTAGCAAAACCCAAGTCGTCGAAGTACACGAGAACGTATAACGGCGGCAGGGTAGTGTCGGTGCGTAGAAACAACGACGGGTCAGCAGAGGAAGGAGCAAACCGAAGAGCCGCAAGTGTAGCCCTCAGTATGTCGTGCCAATCTCGGGGCGCCTGGCGGAGACCGTAGACTGGCCGTTGGAGGCTCCACTAGGTACCCGCAGGAAACGACCCAGTGAAGCCAGGTGGGCGGCGCAGCCAGATCTCCTCGTGAAGGCTGCCCTGCAAAAAAGTTGTGGAGAAGTCGAGGGAGTGCAGCTCGTAGTCACGCTGTGCTGCAACATGCAGCAGCACCCGAAGAGTAGTCATCTTCGGCGTGGGGGAGAAGGTCTGGAAGAAGTCGACCCCCTGTCGGTGACTGAAGCCTCGAGCAACGTAACGCGCATTGAAGGCAGGCGGAGAACCCGGCGGTCGCTTCACTCTGAAAATCCACATGCCATCGACTATGTTCGCCCCAGGAGGAGGAAACTCGTCGACGTAGGTGCCTGTGGACTTCCAGGAAGCAATCTCTGCGTCCATGGTTGTCTGCCACTGAGAGGAGTACTCACTCACGATCGCCTCAGCGTAAGAGTGTGCGGTAGGGATGTCAAGTGCATCCGGGTCTCCCTGAGGGCAACACAGCATGGATGCGAAACGAGGTAAAGCGGCCGCAAGACACTCAAGCTCAAACTGCCTGTCCTCAAGTACGTCACTGCTAAGGGCACGCTCACCCCCGACAGATGGAGGACAGACAGAATCATACTCAGTAACAAGACTCGCGACGTAGTCGAGACGACTCATAGCTGCAAAGTCAACTAGCTCAGTGACTAGGGCAAACGCAGCAGTAGACTCAAAGTCAGGGTCAGTGACGACTGTAGCAAGGAGACGAGTGACAGTAGGATTGGCAGCACGAGCAAGGTCGGACTCAGGGTCAAGTACGTGCAGAAGAGAGGACGTGGGAGGCTCAGGCAGGACAACACGCTGTGGAACAGAGGAAGGACGAAGTGTCATACCGTGAGTGCCGTGAGCAGGAGGACGAGGACGGGCGACACGACGAGCACGAACAGGTGTGGAAGCATGATTCTCAAGCTCACGACGCTTAATCAGGGACTTAGTCACCTCAGTGTGAGGAGCAGGAGCAGGTAGCGGGGAGTCAGGCAGAAGCTGTGGCTGCGAATGGTCTGTCGGCGGACACAGGTGAGGTGGAGTGAGGCAAGTGGAAGACAGGAGACTAAGAACCTGGCGAAGGAACGAGTTAGGCGGCGGCAGGAACGACTGCATCTGTGGGTAGAAAAACAGTTGGCGCGGGGCAGTACCAGCAGCTCCAACTCCTCCAGCACCAGCACAACCAACACCTTTAGCACCAGCAGCTCCAGTAGCACCTCCAGCAACAGTAGCACCACGAGCTCCGGCAGCGCCACCACCTCTAGCACCAGCAGTAGTTCCAGCACCTCCAGTGCCAGCAGCTCCAGTAGCACCTCCAGCACCTCCAACACCAGCAGCACCACCTGCTCCGGCAGCTCCAGCACCTCTAGTACGAGCACCTCCAGGACTAGCAGCTCGAGCACCTCCAGCACCTCCAGTACCTCCAGCTCCAGCGCCTCCAGCACCAGCAGTACCTCCAGCACCTCCACTGTCAGCAGCTCCAGTAGCACCTCCAGCACCAGTAGCACCACCTGCTCCAACACAACAGCACCTCTAGTACGAGCACCTCCAGTACCAGCGGCTCCTGCACCTCCAGTACCTGCAGCACCAGCACCTTTAGTGCCAGCAGCTCCAGTAGCACCTCCGGCAGTAGCAGCACCACCAGCTCCGGCAGCTCCAGTACCTCTAGTACAAGCACCTCCATGACCAGCAGCTCCCGCAGCTCCAGCACTAGTAGCACCAGCACCTCCAGTGCCAGCAGCTCCAGTACCCCCAGCACTAACAGCACCACCAGCTCCGGCAGCTCCAGCACCTCCACTACGAGCACCTCCAAATTCAGCGGCTCCAGCACCTCCAGTACCTCCAGCTCCATCGCCTCCAGCACCAGCAGCACCTCCAGCACCTCCAGCACTAGCTGTACCTCCAGGACTAGTAGGTCCAGCAACTCCAGCACTAGTAGCACCTCTAGGACTAGTAGCTCCGGCACCTCCAGCACTAGCAGCACCTCTAGTACCTCCAACACCAGCAGCACCTCCAGCACCTCCAGCAGTACCTCCAGTACCTCCATCACCAGCAGTACCTCCAGGACTAGCAGCTCCAGCACCAGCAGGACCGTACCCTCCACCACCAGGACTGCCTCGCCGAACGATCCACGCACGAATCGCCTGCAACGAGAGCGTCTCAAGTAGATCAGGTTGCGGTGGCTGTCCAGCTCCAGGACCTCCAGCAGGGTCACCCACAGCTCCACCACCACTAGGACTCGCAACACCCCCAGAGTCAGCACCCCCAGTCGCAGTACCCCCACAACCAGCACCCCCAATCGCAGCACCCCCAGAAACCTCACCCTCTGTCTCAGCACCCCCTGGCTCAGCACTAGCAGTTTCAGCTCCAGAGTCC